GTGGTTGTCAAAGTGGAGGCTCCAAGAGCAGTCGTACAAACTCATGGAAAGAAAATCCAGCTACAGCAATTAAATGCAAAAATATAATTGAGATGGCTTTTAAGGTACCAAAATTGCAGATACTTGAAAACAGAGAGAAACCACAGGGGAAGCATGCCCTACCCAATATAAAGCAGGCAGAGTTTGCCAAATTGATTGACATTTTTTGTAGCTCTGAGCAGTTGTCTATATGTTCTTCACTAAATTCTCTGTATTTATTGATGACTTTAAAGAAGTCATTGAAAATTAAATTAAAATAATTGTTGGTATTCCTCATCTGAGCTCCATTTGAGCTCATGTTGTAACACAAAGTAGTTTCTAGGCAAGGTTTTACAGAGGATAGGAATAAGGCTTCGTACCTTTGTTCTCTCTGTTCAAAAGTACTTTAATATATTTATGAGCATTTAGGGCAGATTGCTGCTGAAAGCTCTGATATCACTTGATAAAGTTGGATATTTTACTGTGCAGATGACAGCTGTTTGTTAGTCCTTCTTTTCATAAAGGCTCTCTAACATCAATTGTCAGTAGCTCAATAGACACCAAAATAGTTCCTCATGTTTACTTTTACTCAGAAAAAGTATAGTTGTGCCAGAATGCAGCTTGCTGAGAAACAGTTCAGCATGGCTATCCAACAGCTAGAAATCTAAACATAATCACACATGTGACCAGTGTATCTATCCCTGCAATGCTCACTGCTGCGCAACTCTGAGGATCAGTTAAATTGCAAGTATCTGCTGTTGTGCTAGCCCTGTAATTACTCAAACCTGTCACTGTTATGGAGTTGGCAAAACTTTTTAGTGTAAGAGAGCCACACGAATTTCTATTCTGTGCACCAAGGACTTGCAGTGTGTTATGCTTATGGCCATGAGGATTTCAGTGCACACCCCGGGGTTTCTTTCTCTCTCTGCCAGACAGCCCACCTGGCAGTCAGCAACCCTCACAGGTCAGTCCTGCTGCTTCTCCTGACTTCACTGATGTGGGGCCTTCACATGGGACATCCTTTCTCCCAGCTGCAGAGGGCCTTTGGGTAGATGAGAGGTCTCTCCTGTATTCAGCTGCTGTGCTGTTCTCTCCAGAAATTAGGCACCCCTAATGCCTCAGGCAGTTCTCCCTCCCTGTGTATTCACATCCTTTTCCCAGTGGACGATTAGAGTTTTTATTTGTCAGCTGCTCCTCTGAAGAGGATTCAGGAAGGTTCACACTTCAATCCACAAATTCGTTTGACTCTTCTTCATGCAGCAGTTTATCTGGCTGTTTTTCCTAATTAAAATAGGTACTTCTATGCACGCTTTGTCAGATGCTAGCTGTGATATTAAGCTGTCTTATGTCACAACAAGAGGCAGGACACTTCACAAACCTTTGCTTAGTGATTTGGTTGTATTTTTCCATGTGAATTTCCCAGGTAATCTGTATCAAGTCAGTGTGTTAAGAGATACACTTAATGTAATTATTTCATTAATATGTATGTTTGCTATTTATATTTTGCTTATTCCTGGCTTTTGGCTGAAACTAAGCACAGGAATTAATGTGTTTGGGGTAGGCAGTTCTCAGCCCCTTCTCCTGAAGAAAGTTGTGATAAGTGACAAATCACATATACTTGAAATTCTGGTTTTAATAAACCTATTGCAACCATGGTCAGTGTTTCAACGTGCAGTCAAGTTCAGGGGCACAGCATAGCTGCCTGGTTTTATACATGGCTTGAAAGTGAGCTGGCTGCAGTTCAGGTCAGTGAAGTAGACACGTTGATGACAATTCAGGCAAAATATCAAAACTTGGTGGTAAAAGCAGTGTTGGCTCCTTCAGATTATATTTTTCATGGTACAAGATCGTGACTTTTTATTAGGGATTCTTTCCCCTTCATTGCTATCAGTCATGCTACAATTAGTAAGGCAGTCAGCTTCTTGTCATCGACATGTGGCCAGGACTTTCTAGCCTTTGCTTTTTAATGTGGATTTCATTCTTATGCAGTCTTCTGTTGTCTTGTAAGTCGATTGCTGCAAAGGGTTTTTCCTGGACCTAGTTGGAGTCACTTGGAGACAGCCAAGGAAGTGATTGGGTGGCAATATGATGGGAATTTCAGGAATTGTTGTCTTTCAACAGCACTGCCCTCTTTTACTGTTACATATGTAGGGTTTGGGAATTGAAGACCATGAGCAGTGGCGGTGGCCACCTGGGATTTCTGAGAAAATCCAGTTGTTCACAGGGCTTCAGGAGCTCGCTAAGGATACGTTCCTCAGACTAGAGGCAGGAAGAAACCTTTTCTCCTGATTGTCTGTCTGGCTTGGTAGGGCTATTATTTTTATCTGAATGTTTATTTTTTAATGCTTGTGACAGACTGTTCTGCTGCTTGCAGGGAAGAATGTTATACACAGTGTATGTTGTGAAATGTGACATTAAACAAATGTGAAAGTCTGCTTTCTCCCATCTTTCTCATTTTTCCTTTCAATTCTGTCCAGTTGTGCCCAGACACAGTATTAAGTTCTTGTTCTTTATCTCTGAGACACATTTTTCCTTTCAATTCTGTCCAGTTGTGCCCAGACACAGTTCTTGTTCTTTATCTCTGAGACGTAGTTTAGACTATTGGGACAATTTTGCTCAAGGAATAGGCAGAGTCTAATTATTCATGGTGGTCTAGAAGAGAGAACTGAGACTAGTCAGGATGAAAGTACAAAGGTTTAGGCTTTTTAAATAGAAGAGAGAGAACTGAGACTAGTCAGGATGAAAGTACAAAGGTGAAAACATGGTAGCTTTTTAACTGGATCACATTGAAGAGAAGCCCAGGTGTTATTGTGGTACTTTTGATTGATCAGTAATATATCTCAGCAGTGTGAACCTTTCACTTTGGGACAGATGAGCAAATATTTTGGCATACTTTCCAAGAGAATTGCTGTGTAATTGAAAAGGGATTGTTGTCATGCTAGTATATTCATAACCATGAAAAATCAAATAAGAAAGACTGACCTTATATCAATTCTGGACCTCCCAGCAAGCTGACCTCCTGCAACCCATAATTTCTTAAGTTTACTGCAGTGAGAAACATTTTGTAGGCAAATAGCAGTTAAAAATGCATCAGATGCTTTGTGATGTAAGGGTGGGTTTTAGTGTGGATTTTACTTCAGATAACATACATAAGTCCTTATCATTCATTTATTCGTAACTTTTCATGTACATGGCCCTTCACTGGCTGCAACTTCGGCCAGTTATTTTACTATTGATATAATTTTTATTTCATAGATGGCTTGTATTCTTCTCAAACTGCTACTTAGTGATACATTTTAAATGTGAGCTAATTAAAAAAAAAATTATAGTAACTGGTTTTAAGTTGGTATGAAAACCAGTTCAGCAATCTCTTCTGGTGCAGCTTCATGTGATAAGGCAGCCAAGGGAAAAGACTTGGCTAAATGTTAGTTAAGTGCAGATACCTAAAGCTGTTGTGTCCTTGGCTGCTTTTAGATTTAAGAAGCAGCTGAGCCTTCTGGTTGCACTTGGAATAAACTGGTCTTTAAGTAGGAAGTGGAGTAAGAATGGAGAATGCTGCTTCTTCCAATGATCACAGTCTTAATTCCCTCACAATGTGAGCTTGTCACCAGCACATTAAACTGACAGGGGAACCTCTGCTGCACTGAGAAGTTTTGGGGTTTTTTCTGCATTAAGAAAGAAAGCATTGGGCTGTATTATGCAATTTAAGAGAGTCTATTCATTAAATATCTGTATCATTTTGAATAAGTGGAAGCAATAATTCTATTCTTGCAGATAGAATGCAAATATAATAATTTTTCTTTTAGCATATTAATTCAGTAAGGAGATTAATATAAGCCTCCAAACTTCTTAGTCAAAATCTTTATTCTCTCTGCAGAATGCAATACAATTACTACTTGCATGCTGATAGTAAATGAACTGTTTTATTGAATAGTCGTAATGAAATATTGGAGGCTGGTGTGTGATAGTTCTTATAAAGAGTACATTCAAGGAAGACTTTGCAGAGGAGGCAAAAGAGGGCAGAAAACTTGTGTTTCAAAAAGAGATAGGAGTGGCTGTTAGTGGAGCAGTGGCAGCTGCTATTATACTCTGTACTCCTCTGGTATTGGTACTCCTGACTTCCAGTATGGTTTGGAATCAAATTTAACCTTCAGGCACATAATTTATTAATACTCTATTGCAAGCTCAAGAATTAGGGTTATTATGAATTATTAATACTACTTTATTCAAGCATTGATATATCTTTTGCAATACTGACTAGCATGAGCCTTTTTTTCTTAATTTTCAGTCTTGGTTTCAGTTTACAGTAAAAACCTCTACACCTGAAATAATGATCAAACTAATTATCAGGGAAGCCAAGAACAGGTCAGGTTAGAAGGACCTCAGAATGTCATCTAGCCCAGCGTACTGCTCAAAGCTCTTCGAGCTATGACAGCAGAACAATTAATTCTTAGCACTTCAAAAGAATATTTTGTTATCTTTTGAAGACCTGGAGCTACGCTTCTGAATGACAGGGTCTCTGCTACATATTTTTGCACAGAATACTGAGGCTGGACTTTAACTAGAAGCTCCTTTGGAGTCTTCTTTAAAGACAGGACTTTTTTTACAGTGACCATCAGTAGCGTCAAACTTTCCTCCAACTATGGATGCTCTGCTGACAATCTGGTGTTACAAGTTTGCTTGTAATGTAAACATAAAAATGTTTTGGTCAGCCATTTGTTAGCAGACTTTTTTGTTATTTGTCCAGTGGTGGTACCAAAATTTTTGTTTTGTAGATCATAATGAGGCGTTTTTGCCGTTTTCTTACTATGGCCAATTAGGCATCCAGAAGAGAGTGCTCTAATTTTTCCGGTTTAGGTCTTATGTTTATGTCTGTGGAACCCCTGATTTTTTTTCCTTGACCAACTACTCAGCAGTTTATTTTTTAGTTAATTTATTTGTGACATTGAATATTGTCTCCCTCTTTTTTTTTTTTTTTCCAGTGTGACAATGCAAAAGGACTCAAAGCCTTCTACGATGCAATAAAATTTGGACCTAATCATCTGATGGTTTTTGGCGGTGTATGTGCAACAGTTACTTCTATCATTGCTGAATCTCTGAAGGGATGGAATTTGGTTCAGGTAAGGCATGGAATTGAATATATTCTAATGCTGTCTTGTGTCTCTGAATTAAAAAAAAAAAATAGAAACATAGCTTTGATGCTTTTAAAGCTTGGAATTTTGTGAAATTTTTATGTTTCAGTTTTGAAGGGCAGTTCATGTGTAAAGATTAGTTACTTGTATATAATGCTAGATTTCAGGGGTTGGCATTTTATTGTACTCAAAATTGCTTGTGAGTTTGGGGCAGCAGTCATGTGTCTCAGTAGGTTAATTAAATAAAAATAATAGGTCTCAAAAAGCAACCGAGGTTAAATCAAGTTCAGGCACAGTAGGGGGGAAAACCCAGGACTTCAGAAAAGTTAGAAGAAACTCATCAGGCCTTAAATTATGGTACTTCAGGGTATTTACTCAGTCTGTACTCAGTCAGAACACAGTAATTTCTATGCACTTTAAAAGTGCTGGAAGTGCATAAATTCTAAATAGTGACTAGGTTCATGTCTCAGTATTTGACTCACGAAGCACATTTATTCCCAGTTGTTCTTCTTTCTGACTTTCTCAAAGGTCAAGTTTGTGGAAAGGTTTCCTCTGCTGAGGAATCAGAATTTATTAATACTAATCTCTAAAATGCACATTATAACAGCATGATTTTCTTCATTTATTCAATCATTTGACTAGTGATAATTTTCAGATGGATGGCTGATCACATAGCCATTGAGTTTTGCTTTTCTGATGTGGAAATACCCTGGCTTTCTACTGAATATTCATATTGCCCAAAGATGCTCCTGTACTTTTTTTTTTCCTTAAAAATTCCAAATTATTCTATAGCAAAATAAAAAATACATAACAATTACCTGAGGTTACAGTTACAAACAGGCTCCTCTTTTCCACCTGGAATACTCACTGAGAGTAGTGCAGCAAGAACAAATGAGGCATAATTAAGTTTGTGAAGAAGATGATGATCAGAGTACAAATGGGAAAATCTTAGGAGGATAATTAAAGTAGCTTGTTAACTGTGTTTGCAATGCTTGTCAGATCAGATATTTTTTCTTCTGCTTTGGGATTTTTTTTCTGATATAAAAAGCAATCCCTCTGTGGAAACCAAATAATAGTGTGTCTCTGGGGAGAATGGAGAAAATAACAGAAGCCTTGAAACTAGCCTTTAACACTGTCTCTTAAAATTGGCCTAGTTCATGACCTATAATGAAGTATGTGGCTGGAACTCTGGTTTGTTTTTTTTTTTTAATTTGTCACATGGAATTTCTTTATGACGTAGAATGTTTTAAACAGCTGGGTTTCATTGTGCTAAAAATCTTTTCATTTGCAGTCAAGTTCTGCCTGATGGAATCTGGAAATCAATTTTTTCATGAAGTTGTTAGTCTGAGGAAGGGTGATTAGAAAGCTTTTAAATTCCTGAATTTGTCAATGTATATGTCCAATTATAGAATGGTATGAAGTATTGCTACCAGTGAACATTTATTTCTCTGTATTTAACCACTATAGCTGTGACTATGTCTTAAACATTATTTATGATATCAGTTCATCAAGGTGTTCTTGACTGCTTGGGCTTAGTATCCTGTGGGCACTAGATAAATCCTCACAGGGCAAAATGGCTCTTTATGTCAGGTTTTTATACCGTGATTGGCTGAAGGATAAAAAAAAAACCACAGCAGCATGGCTGGGAAGTGTGGCAAGGTTTAGTAAATGGAATAGCAGCAATGGCAATAATCTAAATATTGCCTGTGAAAGTGTTGTGTCATATAGTGACAGTAATATGTGTATCTGCAAATCAGCAGATGTAGCATGTATACATTAGTGGGGAAACAGAGTACAAATCCTTCCACTCCTCAGGATCCACTGTCATAAGTGTCTCTGATTAAAAGCATAACTTGAAGGAGAAGATAGAAATCTGTGGTTCTCAGAGGTGGAGCAGTAATATCCAGCCTGATAAAATACAAGGCTGTCCTCCCTCAAAACTTGAGACTTCACCTCAAGGAATCACAGCAAACTCACATAAATTGTTTTATGAAATCATGATGATGATGAAGTCATTTCATGTTGCAGTCAGGAAGAGGGAAAACAGCACAGAGACAAAAACTAACCTGACATTGTATTATTGAATAGAGGATTTTCATTTGGATGTCTGACTCCAAAGCTCTGTCCCTGTCCTTGTGCCTGCAGTCATGAAAACAAAGCTCTTAACCCTAGGAGGGACATTTGATTTGATTTGATTTACACAGGTGTCATGAGGTTCAGCAAAGTGATGACTCTCTTACACGCAAGAGAAAAGCAGGATGGTACTGGTAGTCTTGGGAAAAACAGGGATGAAAGAAGAAGAATAATACAATATAACTAAAAGAAAAATTACTTTCCTGACCAAATACAATATGAGGCTTGCTGGCTGCAAAACCATTCTGAAAGCCTTTTAGCCCTGATTTCCAAGTTACTGGGTGACTGCTTTTCCTCTGTTTGGATGAATTTTTCTTTTCTGCCTCTTCTCCATTCTCTACAATAAGAAGTTGCCAAAACCAAACAGTGAAACAAAAGGCCAAGAGTATAAATGTGCTGGAAATTTTCATATTGCATTTTCTACTCAAGCAATTACAGTAGTGGTGAGGGAGGGGAAGGAAATAGATTCTTGCAAGGCAGCTTCAGTCTCTACTCTCCTTCCTGTATGCTTTTGATAATGATAGTGTATTTTTACTTAACTGGTTAAATCAGGTCACTGACAGCCTTCAACACTGTGAAACAGGGAAGATTATAGAGGTTGAGAAAAGTCTCAGTCTGAAGGTGACATATTTCCATGTCATATCAAAAAACACGTACTTTTCCTTCTCCGTTTTTACAAATTCAGATTTAGTTTTGATCAGCAGCAGAAAGGGAATTTGTGCTCTCAATTAACTGCCTTCAACTGCTGGCTGATTTAATTATCTCTTACTGTAACAAAATTAATTATTTTTTAATGGAGCATTTTATATCTGTGAAAGGAGCAAGTTGTTTTAGTCTGCAAAGTCTTATGTCAACCTGAAGGACTTTCATTGAGGTATGCTAGGTGACATAACTTGGAAAATGTTTTTTGAACAGATATTCTTGGCAGGACAAATGCAGGCACCCATTCCTTAGCCTCTCAAATGAAAAGCCTCTCTGTGGGTAATCTCTGTGGGCCAGCAGTCCTTTGTTGAGTGACAGTCTGAATATGGGTTGGAGGCTGCATGTGCATCTTTGATCTCCAGGCTGCGGAGTGGAATCAGTTTGAACTTTCAGTGGTTTAGTTTAAAAGTGCCAATAATATCCTGTGCCTTTGAGAGTGGGCCTTAAAGGCACAATAGTGGAAAGTTGCTGTTCTGTAGGGGGAATACAACAATGTCAAATTATTCCATATTAATCTTACCCCCATGCTCTTTCAACATGTATTCAAGGCAATAAAGAGTGAAGAAGAATCATGAAGAGTATCTCTTAATATTTTGCAAAAGACAAATTAAGTATTTTTATTCTATACATTGAAGCATTCCTGCTAGTATCCAGTTACTGTGAAATGGAGGAGATCGTTAGTTATTCAGTCTTTCTCTTCTATTTCAGTATATCCATCACCTGTTATATCCATGTGAATTTCTTACAGTGGCAAAAGTATCCATTTTATATAGATTGCTGCTTCTCCTGTTTTTCATTGTCATCTCTCACTTTTCCTAATTGTTTTGTTAACACAAACATTTAATCAGCATTAGGACTTTGACCACACTGGTCATCTCTCTTAATCTGTGGCACTCCTTCTCAATTTTGGAGATTCATCTTTTTCTGCCATTGTGCCATTGATGTTCTCTTACAGCCTGCTTCATTTACAATTTCATTTAACTCTGAAATTAAGCTTCTGCCAGAAACAAAGTATAAATTTTTGTGCTTCCTCAGAATATCCTCTGTTTCTACATATTTTATGTAATCTAGTCATAACTGCTGGCTTCTAGGCAAGTAACTCCTTCAGGCAATGCAGTGATTAGATTGTAATGACATTCAAAACTGAAGAACCTTATTTTGGATTCAGCATCTCATGTTGGAAAGTTTTCTAACAAAATTATAGGTACCCTAATCATGATATATTACTGCTCACTCTTGGGCATATTAATATAGGATGAGTTCCTGTGTTAGAAAGGGGGGGTGGAAAGGGAAAATTCCTGGTTCTCATGTGATTGGATATTAAAGAGCCTACCCTGAGATTTGTTTTATTGTCCCAGAGATCCATAGGTATTCAAGTCACATCTCTGAATTACTGAAAAGGCTGCTGGTGTTCAGGAAAATTGTTGATGTTTCTAGCTTTTGCTTTCCTTCTGAAACAAGGCTGATGTGATTGCACTGTCAGTTCCTCCCAGGAATTTCTGACCAATGGCCAATTGCAACCCAGTTTTAACAAGGGATTTCCCCAAGATTGTTAGCTTCTACACATTGCTGTGAAAATGAGCTTCTGTGGACAGGGATCCATATGAATGAAGAGGAGGCTGTAATATGAGTGCAGAGAGCTTAGGGCCAGCTGTGCTGTGCTGTGACGTCCTACATGTCCTGCTGCTGTTTATGGAAAGGGGATTGATTGGATTGAGAAGATTGTTAAAAAAACAGCAGAAAAAAAATGAGGAAACACAAATAAAGGGTGAAAATCAGAAGGGCATGAAGTAGGAGCTGAGGTATGTGTCTGTGTTTGTAGAAGCCTAGGATACATGTATCTGTAAGAAACGAGGCTTTATTAGGCATCTGTTACTCATCAAAATTACTGTTAACACAGAATTTCACAGCTATGTTCAGGTTAAAATGATGTGGTTTACCATGAAAGTACTGCAGGTCATCACAGAGATTTCTATACTGGCCACTGAATCAAATTTCTTCTTGTTAATATCTGAATTTCTAAATCCTTATACTTGTTACCTGGACCTCCATCACGAACACATAAACATTTGATAAAAGAAGGTGGTGTTTCATTTTCTTTTTAGCCTTTTTCATCATGTTTGCTGCAGTACAGTGAGTTTGTGCTACTTTTG